CAGGTGTGAACCACACGGTAGTTTCAGGTCAAAAGGGACAGAGATACATGTGGCTTATTCATGTTGACATATGGCAGAGACCAGCACAATATTGTAAAGCAATTATCAACCAATAACAAATTTTAAATTAAAAAAAAAAAAAGGACAGTGAAAGAAAACCACACTCAGAACAGAAAGACACAGTTCCCCTCCATGAAGAGGCTGGCCCTTAGAAGGCACTCAATATCTGCCCCCAAAAATGTGAAATTCAAGGAAACAACTTTTCCAACACTCAGTTACTTCCTGCATAACACGGGACAAGGCCTTCTCTACACAAGCCATCCTTGGGAGGATCAAAACACAAATGTACCTGGAAACGCTTTATGAGCTGCGAAGAGAAACAAGATTTAAAGGAATATCATTTTATATAGGATCTTCAAATTTTTGCGATTGAGAGGATATTGTGCAATTGCTTTTTGGAGGGAAAGGGGTTAGATGGTGGTTCTAACTCACCAGGGTTTGAATTTCACTTAGGATATCTATCCTGCTTCCTGTCTGTCTCTTTCATCTCAAATCGCTCCTAATCGTGCAGCTTGGTCACTGGGCCCTGATACGCTAGGACAGAAATGATGCTCCCTGCATGTGAAAAATGTGTGTGTCCTGGCACTGCGCACACCTGAAGTCTTGCAGGACTGCTCCTTGCCACAGCTGAATCACGCTGAAGGCAGACAGCAGAGAAGAGTCGTGGTATCCTTGCTAGGTGGAACATTCTGTTTTCCTCCGTCTCTTACTTCAACCATTTGTTTGATTCCAGGGTAAAAAGAGTATTAAAGTCGTTAATCATCTTGGAGCTACACAAGGCTCTTTAAAAAAATAACTAAATAAAGCTTTACCTGTGTAGGCTAATCATATCATGTTCATCAAGTTTTGAGAAATACTGAAAACTGGTCTCAGACACCCATTATTTATGCTGTTGAATGGAGGTTGAGAACCACTGCTTTCAACTCTGGGTCAACTTGCCATCTGAATGATGATTCCACTGGCCAACAAGGGACAATATTTTCTTCCCAGTATTCCCCAGCTCAACCCGACCGCCATAAAAATGTCCCTGAAATGAGAATATGTTCTCACACTATTTAACATTTAGCCAACAGAGCTCATCAAACAAGTCCATAGAAGCGAGACACCGAGCCAATTGTGACACCTCCCGAGTGGTCTGGGTTGTACTGGGCACTTGATTTCCCTGACTCGGGACCAGCTCAGTAGGTAGGTGTTAACGCGCACTGCTTACAGATAACGGAAGCTGGGAGTCCGTGCGTGCATGCTAAGCTGCTTCAGTCATGTCTGACTCTGTGTGACCCTATGGGTTGTAGACTGCCAGGCTTCTCTGTCCATGGGATTTCCAGGCAAGAATACTAGAGTGGGTTACCATGCCCTCTTCCAGGGGATCTTTCCCACCCAGGGATTGAACCTACATCTCTCATGTCTCCTGCACTGACAGGTGGGTTCTTTACCACTAGTACCACCTAGCAAGCCCAGAGGGGCTAAATAATTTGGCTCAAGACAATCCATCAGGAAGGGACGAAACCAGAATTCCAACCCGGTCAATCTGGCCCCAAAGTCCCTCCTTTGCAGTCTCTAAGTAAAAGAAAAACTTGAAATACTGAAATGTTGAAAATGGTAACCCAATATTTCATTATCTACTATACAAATGGCTGAACTTAATATTCTTTAGTGTCACTTTTTAGAGGAAATCTGTTGTGTGTGTGTGTGTGTGTGTGTGTGTACACACATATACCTTTTTGGGGGGGAACACCATGCAGCATGAGGGGTCTTAGTTCCTGGACCAGGGATGGAAACCTATGATCCTTGCAACAGAAGTGTAGATTCTTAACCACTGGACCACAAGGAAAGTCCTTGTTGGCTATTTTAATCTTCCCACCCATTTCTTTAAAACACATGTAAAAAGATGCAGGGGATCGATTATTGGAGCATATGCCCATAGAAAGTGAAAGTCACTCAATCATGTCCAACTCTTTGGGACCCCATGGACTGTAGCCCACCAGGCTCCTCTGTCCATGGAATTCTCCAGGCAAGAATACTGGAGTGGGTTGCCATTCCCTTCTTCAGGGATTTTCCTGACCCAGAAATCAAACCCGGGTTTTCTGTACTGGCAGGCAGATTCTTTATCACTGAGCTACCCAGGAAGCCCTCTCAGATGGAATACAGGGTTACAGATTTTTCCCTTTCTGAGACAAATACTAGCAAGTGTTAAAATACATTAAATATCAAGTGAAAAAGTGTGCCACTAATTATTGACCAGGCCAACGTATGTGCATGTGCACGTGTGCACACGTGTGTGTGTGTGTGTGTATACCAAAAAAAAAAAAAAAATCTGAGAGGTCTGATGAGGACAGCTCCCAACTTGAAGACATTTATATTTTTAGGAGCTGCCTCTTAGCAGCTGAGGCAAGATACACATCTTCCCAAGTGTCACCCTGAGAAAATGTGATACAGATGCAAACCTTTGCCTGTGTTACCCTGACAGTGAGAATTCCACTTCGCTGTGACTTAAGAGACTTCCTATTATTTTTCCATGTACAGAACATACTTATTTCTGAAAAACATCACTTCTTTTCCTTCAAAATAAGTCAAACCCTGATACAATTAATATGATAGGGAGGATCTCTGCAGGCTCATTTGTCTTAAGCAATATTATTTACCTTCAACTTCTGACACAAGAAACAATATGTGCAGTTTTCTTTTTATGGCAGGGGAGGGGAAGTCACGGATCGGTATTTGAGAATTCTGCTCCTATCCCTGGGGGAACCATGGGGACATATACATGTACCTCTAGTATAGCTGAACAGAATAATCTATCCTCAGTCTATACAAACAGCTGACAGAGGAAACAGTGCTAAATCTTTGAGATTGATCTAGCCACTAATTCTAAGTGAACTGTATTTAATAGAAACCACAGAGTGAGTACAAAGATATTTCTGATTTCACAGGTGTCATGATGTCATCATATCTTGTGTGTTATTTTAGCTGATTTCAAATGAGTACTCAGGGAGAGAGAGAGGAAAGGAACTGTGGGTGTTGACAGAAGTTCACCTAAGCCAGAGAAAAGTGGGGGAAGGTGCAGTGGTACCTCCCCAGTATAGGGGGCAGCGCCGGAGAAGGGTCTAAGGCAACAGTGACACTAATGACTGTCATTCAGAAAAGGGGAAACTAAGGCAAATGCTGTCCCATAGGGCGGGGTGATTGGCCACTCTGCACCTGACTGCACCTTCCTGTCTGGAGGTGAAGGCGTGTGTAGTAGGTACAGTTCGGAGGCGAAAGAGAACCATCTCTCCGCTCTGCGGCTCCACTGCGAACCCAGCTGGATTTGATCTGTAATTCACCGGAGGAGTGGTCTGGTAACAGACATCTGAGCACCTACTAGGAGCCTGGTCCCGCAGTCTTCTCCGCCACGATGGATCCCAGGAATCACCAGGATCCCTGGTGGAGGAGGGAGGCCCCTCCGTGCAGGGTGACCTGCTCTGCTCCTGCCACTCCAGACACCCACGCTGCTTCAGACTCTGAGCCACAGCAAGGCTCAGAAGATCAAGGGACCAGACACAGCAGCCTTTTTAACTTTGGGAAAACCCAATGCTCACTTCACTCAAACGTCGCAAAGTGGTGCCATGACCCTTTAGCTCTTGGCTCACCAATTCAAAGAGACACATCACATACAGCCCTTAAGCTGCCCACGGCATGATTCTGTGTCTAGTTCCTTTCCAGGTCCCCCCAAAGCGGAAGACAGCTCTGGCAGGGAGTCTGGGCAAGATGACTATAGTATTTAGCTTTTGTCCCTTCTTTTGCTCTGTCTTAACCGTGGAATAAGATGAACATATCTCAGGCACTGAGATCTTCGGCATGTGCTGGACTGGAGACCTGTATTCAAAAGCTACCTGCAAACCTCAGGTGGGCTTAATCTAGCCCAGGAATCTCCACTTCGAAGATGAAGAAACTGAGGTTCAAAGAAAGTAAAGCAGGATCCGGGAAGGTCCCATGGCACAAACTCCAATGCCACGCTTCCTGCCTCAGTCCTTTTATTGAAGACTTAGCTAGGTAGGCAGTGGGCAGAACTGAGCACTGAGGACATCAGATTTCATTTTCTTAACTATAAAGGTGAATATATATACTTCCTCTCTGGGCAGTAGTTATCTCCCCCTTCAAATGGAAAGGGTTACATTCATGATTTCTAACGGTGCCTTTCAGGTTGGAAACTATCATAAGGCTTTAAGATATAATTATGCGTTGGTGTATGTGAATATATACACACATACACACATACATGATCGGCTCCATTTAAATACCAATTCCAACCAGACGTTTTGCCTAATCCACCAAGCAATCAGGTTTTCCCAACCCCAAACCAGGGCTAGATCTCGTCCCACCATTGCAGTCCCTCTGAACCCCGGCTCAGTGTCCCCCTGGCTTCTCCCAAAGATCAAGTGCAGAGGGTGACAGGAAAGACGAGGGGCCACGTACTTCACATGAAATACGAAGTGTCATTAATTTTAAGTTGCTCGGCGGAAACACGGCAAGTCTGCAGCAGCGCGGGGCTGGGGCGGGGCGCAGATCACCTCACAGGAAGCACAAGTGAAAGGTGACTTGTGGATGTGGCCGCTGCCCGAAACCTGGGGCCCCGCCGGCCAAGCGCCGAGTGGCCAGGGCTGGGGAGCAAGCCTGGCTCCGAGCCCACGTGTTGCAGGCACGACCCTGCCCTGGCGGGTTCGCACTGCCCGCCGGGGCCAGCAGGGAAACGTGGCGTGATGCAGGGCGTGCGGCGGGAATTTGGCGGGTCTTGCCAAGCGCACGTGGCCCGGCCAGTCCCGGGTTCCAGGGCTGCCCGCCCCCCCCAACACCAGCCCCCGGAGCCGCGGGCGCTAGGACCCCGCGAGGAGCGCGCACTCCCGCCCGCCCGCGCGGGCGGCGCCCCCGGAGCCCCCGCGCGCCCGCCGGCGCCGCCCTACCTGGCGAAGCAGAACTCGCAGTGGTTGCCGCGCTCGCTGACCGTAAGCACGTAGGCGTAGGCCGGGCAGGAGAAGAGCAGGTCCCCCACCTGGAAGGGCTGCAGGGCCCGCAGCCCCCGGCCCTTGCCCGGGCTGCAGAAGCGCTCCAGCCCGCCGTCGCCCTCGGCCCTCATCCCGGCGGCCGGGCTGTCGCGGAGGGGGGCCCCCCGCGGCTGCGGCTCCCTGCGCGCTGTTATTGGAGCAGCGTCACCCGGAGTCGCGGGGGCGGGAAGCCGCCCGCGGACGCGGCGGCCACCGCTTCCCCGGAAGGGACGGCGGCCCCGCCCGGCGCTCGCGCGCCCCCGGGAGGCGGGGGACCCGGCCCCGCGGCCCCGCCCCGCGCGCGGGACCCTCGCCCGCGGCCCCGCACTCGGCCGACTGTCGGCAGCCGTGGCCGCCGCTCGGAGCTGCGTCCCCCCGGGGCGGCTCCAGGCAGGAGGGCGGAGGCGTGTGCGTCCCGGCGGAGGGCGCGGGCCGCGGCCGCGTTCCGGTGGGCGGGATGGGGTTGCGGTGGGGCAGGTACCCAGCGCCTCCCCTGGACCAGCCAGAAGGATGGCCCGCGCTGGGTTAATAGAAGTTGGTGGGGTTGGGGAGCAAGATGCTTCTCAACCTTCAGTTCGGCTCCTCTGTCCTTGTCGAGAACCCTAGAAGGAGTCCTCGGGGAACAACGAAAGGAAACCGCAGTAGGAAACTGATGTGCCGAGGGGAGCCGAGGGTTAAAAGGTGCTTCCCCAAGGTCAAAGGTTTTTAGAGCCCTGTGTGACTCCCAGGGAGTCTCAAGTATTGCTTGTGAACCTACTCTTTTTTTTCCTCTGCCCCTCCGGTGGAAGTTAATTACGTGGACGGAAAAAGGAAGTGCACTGGGTCAGGCTTGCTCACTCAGACTCTGCGTACAGGCAACGATGCGGAGGAGGCAGGAGATAGATAACCTTGCAGTCAAGGAACTTAAGACTTGCCCGGGGGCAATGCCGGGCTGTGGCCAGAGCACAGGGCTAGGGATCGAACCGGCTTGACCACGCACTGTCATCTTAAAAAAGTCAATTAGGTTATGAGTCACAGGATTTTCCGTGTGAGAAAGAAGGGTTGAATCTGTTCCGCATAGGAGTGTGGAAAGGCTGCAATTGATGTGCGGCTGTAAGGACTCCGTGTATGAAGAGAGGATTTAGTAAAAGCACTAATACTTAAAGTGTGATCTCAAACTAGGTTGCCTGTGTAAGTTTAGGAGTAGTTCAGCAAAGGGTAAGATCAATGTGATCTGAGTATGTAATCAGAATTTTTGACCCTTCAATAAAACTAAAATGAATAAGCCTCTGGCCTTCCTAAAGAGAAGAATACATCATGGATACTCTCCCATTTAGACAGTTTAAGAAGCATTCACTGAGCACCCACTGTGGCCAGTCAGTGGGGTAGAAAGAGGGGCAAAATGTAGGCCTGGGCCTTTGCATTCCATACATTCACAATCCTTATTGGATGTTATGGGGTCAAACGCTGGGCTAAGTGGCTTACACACATTACAGCCATAAATATGTAATTCTGACTGCCCAGTGAGTTAGGTGTTACATGTTTCCCATTTCCAAAACTAGGACACTAAAACTCAGAATACTTTCCAAGGTTACACAACTAGGTTGCAGAATTTGGTTTCAACCTCCAGTCAGTCTGAATATGAGGCCCGTGCTCTTAGGTGAAATGACCCTCTGCAAACGAAGACAGCTCTGAGACAAGTGTTGTTCATGGTGGCTTCTACAAAGTGGTCTGTGAGAAAACAGGCAGGGGCGGACAAACAGCTTGGAGAAGGAAGGTTTGGTCAAGGCAGGTGCCACATTCAAGGAACCTTCGAGCTGGGCCTGAATGATGGATGAGACTTCAGTACAAAAGAAGAGGACAGTTTGCTGGGCTGAAAGAATTGCATGTGAAAACAGGGACTTGAAAGAAAGAATGGTGTGTATTTGCAACCCGCTGAGGTGTTGAGTGGAGCCTGAGATCTCAGGGAGAGGGCAGGAGGTGAGGCAGGAGCATTGGGAGGGCATCTTCTCAGGAGATGAGTTTCCTCCCAGGGGAGGTGTGGGAGTCACTGAAAATGGTAAAGCAGAGGGGTGCTGTGATCAGTCTAGGGTTATAAGCAGTTCTGTTGCAGCTTTGCCGATAGACTGGAAGGGAGAAGATTGACCAGTACCACCTGTTAAGAGAGCACTGGCTATGGCGGGCAGATAACAGTCAATCTTGTAGGCTCAAGACAGGAATCAGAGACTTCCCTGGTGGTCCAGTGGCTAAGACTCCAAGCTCCCAGTGCAGGGGGCCCAGGTTGGATCCCTTTTTGGGGGGAACTAAATCTCGTATGTTGAAACTAAAGATCCCACATGCTGCAACTAAGACCCAGTACAGCCAAATAAAAAGATATTGGGTTTAAAAACACAAAAACAAACAGGAACCATAAATATCTTAGAATTTGGGGAATGGAAGAGGCATTTTCTTACTAATGAGGAAAATGAGGCAGAGCTAGCAAGAGATTCCATGACATACTCATTCAATATTTAAATATTTATGATGTGCTCACTGTGTTCCAGCAACAGTGATAAAGCCTGTGATACAATGGTAACGACAAGAACTACAAAAAAACTGACTTATTCGCTGTCCTCACAGAGCTCTGTACAGTCTCTCTGGCAGAGGAAGCCGACGTTAATCAGATAATCACATAAACAAATAGAAACTGTCAACAGTCTCAAGTGCTGGCGCAGTGCTTAGAGGACATGACCTAGTCTGGGAACGCTTTTCAGAGAGAGTAATGACTGAACTAATATCTGAAGGGTGGACAGAATGTAATCAAGAGAAGAGGAGGGACAAGCATTCTAAATAGGGGGAACAGCATGTGTAACCCAGCAGGGGCCCATGGGGCCTTCTGGGAACAGACCCCAGCCCCTACCATGTCCCCTACCTGCCTCTTGTCTGTAGAAAAACTTTAACCTCCCAGGCCTTCCCCAGGTTCCAAAGAGTAAGTTTAATCTGAGAAGTGAGAGAATGTACAAAAAAGGGGAAACAGTCAAGCAAGACAAAATTATAGTTTATCCATTAAATCAAGCCAAAATCATTTAGTTCCTTCTCAGGGTTATGGGTAATATTCTGAGCCATCCTCTGGGCTGCTTTACAGATGATGAAATCCCCATCAGGTGGAAGAAGTTAACTGCCTGGTGACCATCAACACATCACAGACCCCAGACAGGTTGGAAACAGAAGGTTGATGATGTAGACTCCAGATTACCTCCCTACCAACTGATCAGAAGAATGTCTGCAAGTTGGTCATGCACCCCACAACCCCATCACCATCTTTAAACAACCCTTCCCTGAAAGCTATTGGGGAGTTCAAACCTTCTGGGCACTAGTTATGTGGACTTCTTGCTTGGCATCCTGCAATAAATGCTGCACTTTCCTCACCACAACCTTGCGTCAGTAGATTGCCTTTATTGCGCATGGTGAGCAGGCCCAAGCTTGGTTTGGTAACATGCATGCAAAGTATCATTGGTTGGAAGAACTGTGACTACAATGAAAGGGTGACTAGAGCGAGGCTAGAGGAAGAGTGTTGTTCTAGATGATTTTAGGAGCTAAGTAGGTCTTGTTGGACAACCCACAGGAGTCTCTTCTGATTGAAAAAGCCTCTGACAGATGCCAGATTCTGTTAGATGACCTTTCTGTCAGTTACCATACCTAAATCGTATTCCCAAATAGTGCAGTGGTTAAGAATCTGCCTGCCAGTGTAGGAGACACAGGTTCGATCCCTGGGTCAGGAAGATCCCCTGGAAGAGGAGATTGCACCCAATCCAGAATTCTTGCCTGGAAAATTCCATGGACAGAGGAGCCTGGCAGGCTGCAGTCTATAGCATTTCAAACAATTGGACACAACTGAGCACACACATACCCCTGAATCAATTCTTTTTTTTTTTTCAGTTAATCTTTTTTTTTTTAAATTAGTTGGAGGCTAATTACTTTACAATATTGTAGTGGGTTTTGTCATACATTGACATGAATCAGCCATGGATTTACATGTGTTCCCCATCCCGATCCCCGCTCCCACCTCCCTCTCCACCCGATCCCTCTGGGTCTTCCCAGTGCACCAGGTCCGAGCACTTGTCTCATGCATCCAACCTGGGCTGGTGATCTGTTTCACCCTAGATAATATACAGGTTTCGATGCTGTTCTCTTGAAACATCCCACCCTCGCCTTCTCCCACAGAGTCCAAAAGTCTGTTCTGTACATCTGTGTCTCTTTTTCTGTTTTGCATATAATGTTATCGTTACCATCTTTCTAAACTCCATATATATGTGTTAGTATACTGTAATGGTCTTTATCTTTCTGGCTTACTTCACTCTGTATAATGGGCTCCAGTTTCATCCATCTCATTAGAACTGATTCAAATGAATTCTTTTTAATGGCTGAGTAATATTCCATGGTGTATACGTACCACAGCTTCCTTATCCATTCGTCTGCTGATGGGCATCTAGGTTGCTTCCATGTCCTGGCTATGATAAACAGTGCTGCGATGAACATTGGGGTGCATGTGTCTCTTTCAGATCTGGTTTCCTCGGTGTGTATGCCCAGAAGTGAGATTGCTGGGTCATATGGCAGTTCTATTTCCAGTTTTTTAAGAAATCTCCACACTGTTTTCCATAGCAGCTGTACTAATTTGCATTCCCACCAACAGTGTAAGAGGGTTCCCTTTTCTCTACACCCTCTCCAGCATTTATTGCTTGTAGACTTTTGGATAGCAGCCATCCTGACTGGCGTGTAATAGTATCTCATTGTGGTTTTGATTTGCATTTCTCTGATAATGAGTGATGTTGAGCATCTTTTCATGTGTTTTTTAGCCATCTGTATGTCTTCCTTGGAGAAATGTCTGTTTAGTTCTTTGGCCCATTTTTTGATTGGGTCATTTATTTTTCTGGAGTTGAGCTGGAGGAGTTGCTTGTATATTTTTGAGATTAATCCTTTGTCTGTTGCTTCGTTTGCTATTATTTTCTCCCAATCTGAGGGCTGTTGAATCAATTCTTATTACTGTGTTTTACTACACATGGATGTTGTATGTTAATGAAAGAATTTTCTTAAACCTCAGAAGCTTTCAGATACACACCTACATAGGCAAATC